CAGGTTTTTTTATTAGTTTTACAATAAGAAATTGAAGGCACAGACAACAGGACTAATAAAGTCCCAAATTAAGTCCTGCCATACATGAAAATACTACGCTATACTATGCTATACTATACTATAAACGGTTATAAAATTAACAAAATACATAGCTAGTTACATATTTACGGTATTACACATAATTACATTCGTACAAAAACTCAGAACATGCACTTCTACGAACAACAGGACGTAAAACAAGAACGACATTTAGAGCAAAACGTTTTCCAAGTCCTAGGCCTATTAACATCAAAACATGCATTAACTTTTTGAGTGTAGTGATTATAGAGTTTAAGTTTCAGTGACTGAATAGAGAGAGAGGATTTTATTTCTCCTGGCAGGCTGTTCCAAAGTGGCACTATCCTATTGAAAAATAGGTTTCGGAAAGAAGATGTTCTGCAACGGTTTGGTCGGTATGAATCAGTAGAGCTAAAGCGAGTGTGATGATTAGTAGAATTGACCGGAATATAGTCTTCAAGTGTTAAGTCATAATAACCAGCTTTGCATTTATAAAAAAACGTAATATCTTTTATTTCGAACCAGTATGAAATAGGCAGTAGGTTAAGTTTCTTTAAACGGTTGGTGTAAGATGAGTTGAAGTCTTGAAGGATATATTTGGTTGCTCGTCTTTGGACACTTTCAAGACAAAGAAGGTCCCTAGATGTTGTTTGGGGTGCCCAAATTTCACTGCCATAGCACAGGTGTGTACGAACAAGTGTCAAATAGAGAGAGCGTCGACAGTTTGTATCAGTTAAATATGTGCAGTTACGTCGTAGAAATCCAAGCATGCGGTTTGCTTTGGAAACAATGTTAGAAATATGAGGCGACCATTTTAGGTTATTCGTAATAAGTATACCAAGATCCTTTTGAGTTGATTGAAAAGGGATCTGACTGGAGCATAAAAAGTAATCGGGAGACTCAATACAACGTTTCCGTGAAAATCGTATTCCAGAACATTTCTTCAAGTTGAACTTTAACTTCGACGTAGAAGACCAAAGACACAGGGCTTGAAGATCTGATTGGAGGAGATTAGAGTCGTGTGGATTGTTTATGATTTTATAGCATTTACTGTCGTCGGCAAACATTGGTACTTTGCTGTGTTTTGCTGCGTCAGGAAGGTCGTTAACGTAGATCAAGAAAAGCAATGGGCCAACAATACTGCCTTGAGGAACACCAGATGTTACATCGAGGTAACTTGATGAGAAACCATCAACTACCACGCGCTGTTTACGTGCAGACAGATAGTCAGAAAACCAGTCTAAGAGCGGCCCAGTAATACCAAATTGGGAGAGTTTAAAAATAAGTTTATCGTGAGGTACCGAATCGAAAGCTTTGGAAAAATCTAAATAGATCATGTCCATTTCTTTACCACAATCTAACGCCTTGCCAATGTTGTAAACAACGTCAAGAAGCTGAGTAATACAAGATTTTCCCGAACGAAAGCCGTGTTGTTGGTCATAAAGAAGAGGTTTAACAATATATAAGACTCGGTTATGGACCACATGCTCAAGAGCTTTAGACACGAGAGATAATAATGAAATTGGACGATAATTACTGACAATATGAGTTTTGTTGTTTTTGGGAACGGGAACGATGTTTGCATACTTCCAATCTGCAGGAGCCTTGCCGAGAGCAATGTATTTATTAAATAATGCAGTAAGAGACGGAGCAAGGACTTCCGAACACTCCTTTAATAACCTTGCCGAAATCCCGTCTGGACCCGTAGCTTTCGATGTGGATAGATTATTTAGCAGACGACAAACTTCTTCAACCGAAACATCAGAAAACTCAGTTGGAGTTACAGGAACAGTGTTGGATGGAGGGAAACATGGGTTTTGAGGACGAGGAAGAAACACAGAGGCAAAGAATTTGTTTAAAGCATCCGCTTTATCACTTGATGATTTAAATGTCGATTCAGCTAGGGTCATGGTATCAGGTAATGTTGATTTATTTGATTTCGATTTGAAAAATTTCCAAAATTGTTTCGGATTAGATTTTATCGTATTAGCAAGGTTCCTTATATAATCACGCTTTTTGGTTTTGATCATGCGTTTAGCTGACCTTCGTAGTTCACGAAATTTTTCCCATAGCAATGCCGAATTAGACTTTCTTGCTCGTTTTCTTAGAGATTCTTTCTGATGAAGTATGTGGATAATTTCTCTTGTAAAATAAGGGGGTGTGAGGTTCGGAAGTTTGCCTGCTCGGAATATATGTATCAACAGCAGCAAGGAAAGTGTCCTTCCATTTGGACCATGCGATGTCAATATCATTCTCACTGAGAACAATATCAGTCAAAGGCAAGAGTTTCAAAGATTCACGGAGAGCTACAAAATCACCCTTGTTGTAGTTGTAGATTTTTCTCTTCGCTGCGAATTTTGGCTTGTGATCGAGTAAAACATCAAACATAATCGATTTGTGATCAGATTTGAGGGAAACAGCTTCATCATCCGTGGTCTCGATGTTTTCCACAAGATACTCATTGGTTGTTAGGACCAGATCGAGAATGTTTGAGCCACGAGTTGGTGAAGTTACAAGTTGTAAAAAAACCATGATCTTGCAAGGAATCAGTAAAACTAGTCTCACACAACGTAACAGGAAATCCTGAACCATTTATCCACTGGATAGTTGGAAAGTTGAAATCACCAAGCAAAATAATGTCCTTTAGATTAGATTTAATAGCAAACTCTATAAAAACTGTTTAAGTTGTGAAGGAAGTCACTATCAGCGTTAGGTGGTCTATAACACACAGCAATAAGAACACGTTTGGAAAGAGATTTAATTACAACGCTTGTCAATTCCATCGATTCACAATTGAAAATGAAAGGCTCGGTACTTATAGAATCCTTCACCGCTAGCAACACACCACCTCCACGCTTGCCAGTTGAACGGTCTTTACGAAAGATTTGATACCCGTTTGGAATAACTTCGTAATCAGTTATGGAATTATTCAACCAGGTCTCTGTGAGAGCGATGACATCGAATTGGTTTAACAATACAATATCTTGGAAACATGACAATTTATTTTCACGACAGTTGGTTAAATTATCAAGTTGAAAAATTTAGACTACGTACATTTTGCATAAAAAACGTAAGCGATTCATGTTGTTTAGATGGTGTCATAGAACTAGATTTACTTCCATTTGATGGACCTGGATTACGTTCCACATTAAAAGAAGCATCAGAATTAGGGTAGTATCGAAATCTTGAAGCCAGAAATTTTTTACGCCGTTTGAATTTGATATTAGTCAAAGATTTCTGGGCATATTCATGACGACAATCATTGCATTCGGAGGTAATATAATTTAATTGAGCTTGAGTTGAGCAGCATGTCGTGAGAAAGTCAACGAAATAAAGTCCAATTAGAAATGTGCAGAACCCCAATGGAAATCTGCAGTGCAGCATCGTGGGGATTTAATCAGTGCGTTGTATTATGCGAACGACGATTGTACATGTAATGGCCAATTGAATTTGACATAGATAAAACAGGGAAAATCCCCAAACAGGTCAAAAGGACACGATGTCCAAACAGATGATGAATTCGCTAAAGTTCAATAATTCGAGAACTTTCTTTATGCAACGCTGCTGCGTTTCCGTCTTGAATAATCGATAAATCGGTCACTATAAACTCACCGGCTTCCTACTTCGCCGAGCTTTGGCACAGAATAAGGTACACAGAAGGCCGACTTCTTGGTTTTTCCTATGATTTTCCTATGATTTTGGCGTAACCCGTAATTCGTCATCAAACGCTGACGCCATGGTGCTAGCCATGGTCCTAGTCAAAGTTTACAGATTATCGCTAGATTTCAAATTATTGGGGGGGGCTGACGCCCCCCCCCCCCCGTGTCTACGGCCCTGGTAGAAATTACAATTATACTTATACCGAAAGAACCGTAACACCCAGCCTTTGCATCAGTGGAGAGCTGGGTAGAGGGCAAAATCGTGTTTGACGAAGCATTTTAGAACGGAAAAAAAATCATACAAAATGACACGGCACGCCATGCATCTGCTGGTGCAACAAGCAAAAAAAAAGCAACAATGCCCCTGGCCGACGATTAGTCCTAGTAATTAATTTTAATTAAAGTTTACGTGGATATATCTATTAGCTAAAATTATTAATTTCAACCACATCACGCCCACACACGTTAAAGCCTGGTTTCCATATGGTCGTAACGGTCGTAAAGATTGAGTCACGATCTTTCTCATCACCCGAAATACAACATTTTAGAACTGAACACACGCGGAGTGATTGTAACTAGAGAATACTTATATTTATATGTGGTGTACGCAGGGCCTTTCAGAGGGGGGGGGGGGGGGACTGGGGGCAATTTGCCCCTGGCCCCCAGTTTAAGGGGGTCCCCCAAATTTGCAAAATTAAAAAAAAATTTCGAGCGTTTGTTGATATAAATAATGGTAGGAGAACAAATTTTCTAAACCCCAATTTTACCTTTATTGATTGAAAAAAGGGTTAGACCCATGCTGTAAGAGGAATTTGTCCGGAAAAAAATTCGAACCTAAGTTTAACTAATGTTGGACCAGAAAATTTTTTTGCCCCTTTTTTGAAACTCCGGAAAAAAATGTCACCTCCTCCCTCGCGCTCGCCAACGTTTTCGGGAAAAATAGGGCCCCCGAAACAAAAATTTGCCCCGGGCCCCCGAATTTCTCTGATATAGACCCTGGGTGTACGGGTGTAAACTGGCCGTTGAGAAAAATTATTATAAATTGGCCGTTGAGAAAAATCGTGACTCTATTTTTACGACCATTACGACCATATGGAAACCACGCTTTAAACCTGCTTTCCATATGGTCGTAACGATCTTTCTCAGCCGAAATAGAACATTTTAGAATTGAACATACGCCGAGTGATTATAACTAGAGAATACTTTATAAATGGCCGTTGAGAAAGATCGCGACTCTATTTTTACGACCATATGGAAACCAGGCTTTAATTCTCACAATAAGACATAACAAGAAATCCTTGTGGAGCTTCGGTGGTCAAGTGGTTAGCGCACTTGCCTTTCACCTCTGTGGCCGCAGGTTCAAGCCTCAGTGAGAACTTTCTCAATGCGACTCGAACCCAGTCCTCAGGTGAAAAGAGTAAAAGTCAAAGCTCTGCCGAAAGTCGTGGGTTTTCCCCGCGTACACCGGTTTCCTCCAACAGGGAAAGTTGACAGGGTGGGTTAGGTAAAAAGGGCCACAGTAATTGGCATATGCTGTTGTGGTGACCCTGCCCTAGTTGGCAAAGCTAAATAAATAAATAAAATAATTCAGTATAAATCTTACCGCAAAAATATCTTCTTGCAGCTTGCGTTGCTCTTTTGCAATATGCTTCGCTTCTAGTAGCTCTTCCTAAAGTACCCAAATTGAGTTATCAGCAATCGTGATCAACCATCAATTGAAACAGTTTGTATTTTGTATAGATATACAGTACCTCGAGTCTTGTCCTGGCATAATAAGACTCCCAAACGTTTAACGAAGGAATATGATACCGTGGAAACAATATCCTAAATTATATAATACAGATTAATATATCCATGCGTGATTTGTAATCGCTCAAGTACGCGACAATAATATTGGAGTACCAGTAAAGTAGGATCTTGATTTACCAACCCACCCAGCCCAGTGAAAAAGTATTTAAAAATATTGAGATTGTGGGCTCGATTCTCGTTGTCAACGCTGTACCCAGGGTCTTTCCTCTTGGGGAGAAAAGGCCCTGGTAGACGCCAGGGTATTTTCTCCCCTCGCCAAGTGGAAAGACCCTGGGTATGAGGTTGCAGGGATGGATTTACTGTGGGTGCGGGGGGGGGGGGTGCACCCTCCTAGCCCTGGCCAGAGAGGGTGCAGGGGGGTGTGCTATTTTTCATGATAAAGCAAAAAATTATTAGAGGCAAAACGAGATACAGTCATTTGAGTAATAACATGATGATAAGCGAACTGTGAACAACAATTACAATTCAAATACAGTAGTCAAGCAAGTTGATGAGCGGGCGGCACACATGACCGACACAACTCGGCACCAGAGCTGGCAGAACATCCCCCCCCAGATCATGCTGGATCCATCCCTGTGAGGTTGGCAGCATAAATGATTTATTTAACAACTACACCGTCTCAATTTAAATTTACTTCAGATAAAATTCATGCATCATTTACTTTTAAACAACACTCTAACAGATAACAGATAACAGATACACTGATTACATTTAACAGATATATTGACCTTTCGGTTTTAGTTTTCATATAATTGTTGTTTACAAATTTTTCTGGTTCGGCCATGATAGTCAGGTTGATCCAAGTCCATAATGACAGAGTCTTGCTATCAATCTGAAAGAGAAACATGGAATTGAGCGGCAAATCCAACGGGCCAATACAAATTCTTTTTAAGGCCACTAGAAAATTTACTAGTTTTTGCTACACCCAGTAATCCAACTTTGGCATGTTATCGTGCATTATAAATTACGTTTATCCATTCACGTTTTTCATACCAATACAAATCGGGCTGTTAGCTGTCGAATAAGGGATGGATTTACTGGGGGGGGGGGCATCCCCCCTAGCCCTGGCCAGAGGGGATGCAGGGGTGGTGCTATTTTTCATGATAAAGCAAAAAATTATTAGAGACAAAATGCGATACAGTAATTTGAGTAATAACATGATGGTAAGCGAACTGTGAACAACAATTACAATTCAAATACATTAGTCAAGCAAAACTTTGCAGTGGTGAAGCAAGTTGATGGGCGGGCGGCACACATGACCAACACAACTCGGCACCAGAGCTGGCAGAGCACCCCCCCCAGATCATGCTGGATCCATCCCTGTATCGAATGCCATAAAGGTCGTGTATCATTGAGATAAAAAATAGCCAAATATGATCCTTGAATAAATAATTTTACCACGAAATCGCGAAAAAAAACCCGCTTTGTCAGAAAATACGCCGGCACAAATTCTGTCGATGCCATTGATATGTACAAAGGTCGTTGCCCAAATTGTACAACACGACGATCGATCGATCAACACAAACATTTTGGAACACTTGACTTTCACTAGATATTTACGTTTGACTTGCGTTGGTAACAAGTCATTTCTTGCAAGTCCAAGTCAAGTCACAAGTCATTTGGTCCAAGTCCAAGTCAAGTCACCAGTCTCTTTAACAAGTCAAGTCACAAGTCACAAAAATTGCGACTCCGACTCGAGTCCAAGTCACACGAGTCTACAACTCTGTCTTTATATATACGAAAACAGAAAACCTATGAACGTAATAATTAACACATGCTAACCTGTCAAATTTGGATTACCTCTTTTTTGTACAATCTGAATAATACGGACTGAATAGCTAATGCAAAATTATCAACATGCACACCTTTCATCATGCAAACCCACCATGATATGCAACAAGACAGATCCATCTGAAGCTCACAACTAGATTACATCTCACTGATTCAGCAAGGATGTGTATAATTTTGAGCGGCAATGTGGACTCATATCGCGGTGGATGGGAAGATCATTCACCATGGAATTGTACACATCCAGACAAACGTATGGGAAGGACAAACGTATATGGGAGTGACATATTCCGTGCAGTTAATGCTTAAGTGTCAAGGAATTTGTTGGATTACATAGGGAGATTATACATTTGTAAGTCTGTACTGGGTCTTCCAATATTTACTGAATCTTGATAGTTGATACACTGCTATTTCTATTATGTAATGTATGAAATGCGAAGAATAGCAAACATACCATTTCTTCTTCAAATTGTTGCTCCGAGTCACATAGAAATGTTCCAAACCGGCAGGAATACACATGGTCTGCAATCGTCTAAAAAAATAACAGGGTTTACCTTTAATTCCTTGTTGACTTAATTTTGTAAATGATGGCAAATACGGGTAAAGAACTACATAAATTAGTATATCCGATCAGAAGCCACACCTCACTGAAACACTAGCCCTTGCCGACTGGAGTCACAAAAACGAAACTACATTTAGGTATAAACTCAAACAATTTTCTCTAAGCCTAAGAAAATATCGAAAAAGCTTCTAAATTTTGATGGGGTTAGACCAGTAGTCCAGTACAGTTCCAGACAGCATATTTCAAAATTCAAAGTGATAATATCAACATTTTTAATTCCTAAAGCCATAATTTCAGTTGAAAATTTCACCTGAGTATGTATACCTAAAACCACGCCCAGATAATCCGCTTGCTGTCCAGTTAAAACATGGACTGATCCGCTAAATATGTGAGAACGAAGGTGTGAACGAAACGTCTATTCTGCATGTATATATAATTGAGAAATATAGTAACTAGTTTCCCGTGCATTCTAATGTGCATCTCATCATTCTACTCAAAGTGCAAACAGCGACAGAAAATAGGACATGCGCTTTTTTCTAAAAGTATTAACCTCCCCCATCCATCTTACCTGCAAAAGTTCTTCATTGAATTCGAATGAAAAAGGAAATTGATTCAGAAGCTAAAAGAGAAAAAATACAAGGTACACTATCATTTCTGGTTACCACTGAGTAATATTAAAAAATACAAAACAATGGACACTCCGAAAACAGTTAACATTTTTAATTCGACGTTTCAACTATCTTGCAGTCATCATCAGGAATGACGCTACGGAAAAATATACATGTTATTGACCTTGTATATATAACATGTATATTTTTCCCTAGCGTCATTCCTGATGACTGCAAGATAGTCGAAACGTCGAATTAAAAATGTTAACTGTTTTCGGAGTGTCCATTATTTTGTAATTTTTTTTCAGGGGTGAATCCAGCAAGGCTTTTCTAGGGGGTGCTGGTGAATAGCCGAGTTTCTTTATAATTATTTAGGGGGTTGTGGGGGAGCATTCAAATGAATTGGCTTCCTAACAACTCGAGCGCCAAAGGCGCAAGTTCCCCAGGAGTATGCCCCCGGAAAATTTTGAAAATTAGAACCCTAAAAATGCCATATCCTGCGATATGGGCATTGTACTATGAGCTTCAGTTTGAGCTTCATCTTCATTATGAGCTTCAGCTTCAAGGAAAAACCTTGGAAATTGTGCCATATTTCTGAATTTGATTTTTTTGCACCCCTCTTGACCAAGGCCAACAGGGGTGCGCACCCCTGTGCACCCCCCTATAAGTGCACCCCCCTATAAATCCACCCCTGATTTTTTAATATCATTTCTGTTAAATGTTCTTATTATATTTGTACATGCACTTCTTCTAAAACCTTCGCGGACCATGGAGCAAATCACAAATTTCCCTTTTACGTACTGTACATATATAATTACTAGAAATACATGCATGCAGAAACCTTCGTCTTGCTGACAAACCATTATATTTTCCGAACATGACGTTTTAAAGTTGTTGTCATGGTAACATGATAATTTTATTAAGAATAATTTTGAAATTGAAAAATCCCCTAAAATATCACTTTTGATTACAAAAATCATCAATTTCCCAAACATAGATATGTTAGGACAGTGGCGTAGCAAGCCCCATAATTGTGGGGCAAATTGCATTTCTAAACTTACGTTTTGTGCGCAAGTCGTTTTGGAAAACAGCCAATCAACTGAGAGAAAAATTCATACCTGCCAAACACAGTCTAGCCATTGTAGAAATATGGGTCCATGTCCTTCATTTGACTTGGGAGAAATACATCGTCCTGCGAACATGTGACCAAAGGATAGCCATTCCTTTTGTATTAATATCTGGAACACAGTAAACAGTTTTGTAAGGTGGCATGGCAATTTACATGCTGAACCATTCATTGACTATTAACCTTTTGAAAATAATTACCTGAAAACCATCAATAGTGCGGTAATGTGGATCAAGAAGTAACTGAGACAAACTGGACAACTGCAATAGAAACAAGGTCACTATTTTAGTACGTTTTAATAGCTCGTTTATATACACATGCGCACGACGGTATAAAATGCACTTAATAGAAAACTTACGAAAGCGACGTTTTTGACAGCACGTATGCCAACCGGAAGACAATCGAGCCGTTGTAGATGGCGAGTGATGGCGTATATTTATGTAGGCATGCGAGTTATACAATAATTGAGGATTCCCCTTGTTACGTTTTCGTATCACTTTGCATTGTGGTTATAGTGGTATCACTGATATTCAAGATGGCTTATTTTTTGTCCTGACCCGCGTGCAAGAACTTTTTAAAAAAAGCTAGGGTCAGGTGCGCGATAGCCAACAGCAAAATATTCGCGAAAACATTTAATATTTTCATTCGAGGCCGCTATCTTTATCAGTGATACCACTATAACCACAATGCAAAGCGCTACGAAAACGTAATAAGGGGAATCTAGTATTGCATGGGCACTATTGTTCCCAGTGAACTGCGACCGTTTTGGGGCGGTTTGTAAGCAAGTGGTTCAAATTTGCTTACCTCCATAAATACTTATGATCTCCCGTTTCTCGAATATATCCAATAGAAACAATCATCTCGATTCTGATGGCATATGTTGATGGATATATTTACATTATGTACTGTAGCATTGGCATTTATGCTTTTTAAGGCAAGCACAGAAAAAACTTATCAGTGACCTTCGCAGTTTACTCGGAGCAATACAATACACAAATTGATTATTTTTCTCCTATATATATCAGTTCATAGAGAAACCTGAGCAGTCCTATCACAGCCATATTCATAACTGATCAAGACAGATGACTTGTCTGTACTCATTGCGGTGATAATCAACGACGTCGTTTCCAGTAGTTCGCTGATTTGTGAAAGCCATTGAGTTTCAGCCAAATAAGAAAGGAATGTCTTGTCATCGCTGAGAGAAGAAAGAAACATTTATTTTTAGTATGTTTGCACAAGTGAACATAACAAATCCTACAAGTTGATTGGTCAAATTGGACGTATTAAGCTGTTATATTCACCTATACAGGTGAATATAACAAGACCGAAATTTTCAAAATGGCGGCTAGCCGTTTTGTGGACGTTATACTGATAAAGAAATAAGCGAAATTAAAATAATAAAACTAAAAAAAACAAAAAATAATAATAAAAAAAACACAAAAATACTAAAACAATTATTCGCCTCAGGCTCGGTGATTATCGGGGAATATTCACCTCGAATTCGTCTCGGCGAATTTTCCCCGATAAGCATTGCCTTCGGCGAATAATTGTTAAATATTCGTACTTGATTGCGTGTTCTAATGGGTATTAATCGTCTAAGCACTTACTACAGTTTTTCAAAAATGAAAACTTTGGATAGATTCGTATTTTTGAAACAAGTATTACTTAGGCAACTAAAAAATCTTATTTATACAAACCAACATCTAAAGAGGTTGAATCTGTTCACGGTTTAGGGGCTAATCCCAATCATCAGTGATCCCCAACCCCCTGTTGGAGGAAACCGGAGTACCCGGAACCCACGAAATCAGAGGTGAACGCGCTTGCTCTGACGATTGCGACCCTAAAGTTCCTATTGAAACGTCATTGTTGCCATAGCAGCGACAGCTACGTCACTACGGCACCAAACCATACAATTTTCTACAAATACCAGCGAAAAATAATTGGTACTGTTTCTGCATGCCTAATAACTAATAGCAAAAAACTCACCACTCTGCAGCCAACAGTGTCTGCAATTTATACGAGCTTTGTTTAACAGTTTTGTGATCCGGAATGATTTCTTTGTCGGTGTAAACAAATTTCACGTGAGGATAACAGAAAGCTATAACAAAATAACAAGAATGATGATATTATATGGTGTTTCTGAGCAATTGATCACACGCACATTGAAAACTTGTCGAAGTGCAAGTTCACTACGGTGATTGTTGATGACGCCTCGACGCAAACGTGTTGTTTTTGTGGTTGTTTTTGCCGTTGTTTTTGGTGTTTATATTGTTATTGACGTTATTTTCCGTGCTGTTGACATTGTTGTTCATGTTGTCATCGTTGTCGCTCTATAACAAGTTTGTATAATCATTTCAATCACGAGGATTAGATTTGACTTTCACTACCACAACCGCCACTATTAAGGGAACATTAACCTATCAGATGCTTTTAAGATTAGATACGACTTTCACACCACTAATTTCGCCACCATTAAGGGACCATCAACGGAACCAAACAAATGCTTTTAATCTACTTGATTAACCAATCACACGAGTATTGTACTTAGTCAGTCGCCAGTGGTAGTCAAATCTAAACCTCGCTAATGTCAGCCATGCATCGTACCTTCGCCTTGTTTTGGCGTGATCTGACCGCTAAGTTGATGTGCTGGTGTAGTCAGCAGACCTGCAGTATTGTTGCGGCTTCTAAAAATGAGAAAATAATTGATTTTTTCTATAAAAAGCTGGTATCAAAAGATAACCTATTAAGCTGCAATGTTCAATACTTTGTTATTTTGTTCTAATGCAAAACGATTTTACTTGTCAAGGGTGGGGTCTTGCATAATGATTAGCAGAACTATCAGCTGATGCCGTTTAAGTTGCAATGTGCCCGTATGAACACAAACAGATTGACTAACTTGTGACTTACTGTTCAGTGAAGACAACCAGTTTATTGCCATTTAACTGTTTATTTTGAAAGCAAACTGAAGCCAGAAAATTTTCATCTGCCTCGCATCTCGACTCAAAAAGTCCTCTAAAAATATACAGGGGTGGTGTTTTATGCAGTGTAAAACAGCTTATAGCATTTCTATAATAGTTGGGGAATCACGTTGAGAATGGCGGCATCCTTCCAATGAAACTGACTCAGTTTGATCAATTCAATGCTGCTAATTTCGAAAATCGGTGTTACATGGGGGTTTTCGGAGCTGTAACTCTCACCATTTTTGCAGCCTCGGTTTGTGCTGTAGTAGCAGTGCTTTTTGCTTCATTGGCATGGCCTATATTTATACATGTACACTGCTCTGGTCTGAAATTTCAAACCATATCCTTCTTCATCCTTTTCTATTTACCACATTCCATTTGCTTTACAGTATCTCCCCTTACGCCATTTCAAATTTGGTTGCAATTTATAATTACACTTAACACTTTCCAGCTAATTCTTCATGCGATGACTGAAACACGCTATCGACGGTTGTTAATTTTCTTAATCTTAAACAATGTAATATGTGTATTGTTGTAATTTTATTATCAATTTGGGCCCGCAATAATTGGCATTTATGCTTTTGCGGGGATCCCCTGCCACGAGGTGATATGTACAAGATGCACAAGGCGAATGAAACAAACAAATAAATAAACTATACGAAGGGTCGCTGTATTTAGTATTGTAAGGGGTAGCACATACCTTCTATGTACACCTGAACCAGACCGTAACATAACCGTCCCATCCGGTTTGTTTCTCCAGCAAATTGAAGGAAAACTTCTATTACTAAACATGAAAATCAGATTTCATAAAAAATCACTTTTTATCTACTAAAATCCCACCTACATTCTTTCTGGTCGAGGCAGATGCTCAAACATCTTGAAATTCTTCACCCTTCAAAATATGCTGGCGTATACAACATATTACTGTACATATCAACAATTCATAGAATGAGAGTATATTTGCGAGATATATTCAGAATGCCATGAAAAATATCATGAATCGCCATGTTGAACATATTACTTTTCGAAAATGTTCACGTCACAGTGATCACTTACCCATGGAATGCGATAATGCTGTTCATTTCCATATCATTGATACCATGCGGTATGAGAGTTTTCTTAGGAGCCTTTGTCTCTAAGGGACCGTTTGGTGCTAAATGAATGAAAATAGGGTTTCGTCAAAACTGCGAGAGCATAGCGTTGGCCGCAACGCGATGAATACAATTGAACTTTACGGACGATTTCTCGACAGCCTTTCGATATCAACACGAAAAAGATTACTTCTCGACGATTTGAACGAAGGTACTTCATCTGGAGAGTTAAACAGAGACACATCATTCATAGGGCGCAAATTTGGAAGGTGTGTTATGAACTGTCATTGAAAGTACCATACAATTTGATGTACATTGTAAGTCCAACGCGCCACCCATAAAACTTGGACGTTTTGGCATGGTTTTGCCGTTTATCAAACGTACCGTACGACTGATTTATGCATGATTGGTTTTACGCATGGTGGATTCTTGCATATCTTTACAAAAATTTAAAAATGATGATTGAAAAGCGACCATACAACAGGCTTCTAGAAAGCTTACAACAGCCGTGTTGAACTCGATAGGTGTACCAGAAGACCCCAAGCACCCATACTAACAAAGTCTTCGCAAATTTTGCGGAATTTTCAGTTTAGTGGACATTTTAGAACTGTCCACTATTTTTGATACATCCTGAGTGGTCGACTGACCTCTGGATGAGTCTGTCCTCTACTAGATCACGGCTCTCCAAGGCAGGGTGAATTGTGATTATCATATGATAAATGCAATTAAACTGTCCAATGAAACAAAATTCAAGAAGTGTGATACTGGCAATTCAAGTATTTTGCACTGTACTTGATTACTAATATTAGTCTTAGACGTTTAGTTTCCTGCTAGTGCCGAAAATTATAAAACAAATTGTTCTCGCTACTCGCATCTTCTATTTACAATCTGTTGTTTTGGGGCTAAATTTTTGCTTTAGCAGTTCAATTTTTCCTTCGTGTATGATATATTCTTAATGCGTAATGAGCTTAACTTGGGGGCCCACAGATCGGAATTTTAATTAAATTATCTATTGTTTGAAACAAAAATGTAAACAAAACACGCACATGAGCAGAACGGACTTGACAGCCTCTTTAATAGATTAATAAATATTGAAAAAACCCACTTACAATATACTCTCCAACAGTTTAACTGCAGCAAACCCAGACGTCGAAACTCGACTATATAAGAAAAACACATTAAACATTATGTATCATTCATTTTAATCTACGGCATATATTCAGGTGATGGAAATGTTGAGACAATTATGACTAAAGAACTTTGACAGTAAGGACTTTTCAAAGACAAAAATAAATTTTTCAAGGAATGTTTAAAGTGTCTTGGAAACAGAACACAATCCATATGATAGTAAATACTAATAACTTACGAACCGAGAGTGATATTGATCGAGCGATACCGGACAAGTAAAGAAACTCTACTTGGCCCAGCTGGGATATCAAGGGTTTTCCCAACACCACCTTAATATATAGTCATAAATGTTCCCGCAAAGTGAGAGTCATTTTGAAATACACAATACTAGATATATCAAAATAGAAAGCCACCATAGACAGTATGTTTGTCTTTACTGGGCAGAATTAATTTCTCTTGTCTTGCATGCCAGTACGTACTATGGCTACATAGCCTCGCTCACAAGTTCACGGCATTATTTAAAGCATAACGTGTCAATCGCGAAAACAAGGGGGAGTTCCTCGGGTAGAGGAGAAGTGATCACGTGATCGGCTAGTTGTGTTGTTTGTGGCGTCAGATATAACCAAATCCCTATCTCTAAGCCTAATCCTTACCCTAACCCTCACCCTAACCCTAACCCTTACCCTAACCCTTACCCTAACCTCAAAACTAATCGCTATAACTAACTGATGACGTAGTCTGTGATGCAAATTCTTCTACCCGAGGATGTACCCAAAACGGGGCTCTATGGCCAAGATGACGTACTTTCCGGAAGCGTGTATTAAACGTTTGGTATCACGTGGTTGATGTGACTACTGATGTGACATTTAATTAACTTTCAAATGAAGCGAGCGAACAAATCACGACGCCTTTGGTACATAAAGAGACGTATGAATCATATCATCTTGAATCTGTTCCTGGTATTATGTTTGTAATGTTGTCTCTGAGTGTGTCCACACCGAACGTTTGCTTGACCGCGGTTATTCCACTCATGTCGAGTGGGCGACATTTCGGAACTCAGTCAAGTTCCTTCGCCATCAGGGTGTTTTTTCGATCTACATACCGATATCGAAGGAACTAGACTTAAAAAATATTCAAGTATTAAGTTGTCATTATTCGTTCTCGTTAAAAAAAAAGTTTTTGAAGAAAAATTTTCTTGTCCGTTCCAGTCCACGGATAATTTTCCTGAGTGGAAACTAGTCTTTAATAATTACTGACGATCATAATCCTATTGTTTTCTCTCTGCATTATATCAGCGAATGTCGAGAAGTTTTAGCGTTCTTCTGAAAAACGGGAGCGGTCTTTTTTGATTGTAGGGAAATTCCCAGGGGTAAATGTTTATACGGGCTAAAATAGCACACAGCATTATTAAAAATAATGCAGCGTGCACACAGCATTATTAAAAATAATGCAGCGTGCACACAGCATTATTAAAAATAATGCAGCGTGCACACAGCATTATTAAAAATAATGCAGCGTGCACACAGCATTATTAAAAATAATGCAGCGTGCACACAGCATTATTAAAAATAAAGCAGCGTGTATCAGTGCACACAGACATTATTCGCAATCCTTCGTCATCCTGACAAGTACACGCGATAACGTGAACATCTCAAGATGAGAAGTTGGCAGTGCTAAAGGCCCCTCATACAATATCATCGGGCGCCTGAAGCACTGCCAAAACGGTCACTGTGAGTCCTTTCAGCTCAACTTTATAGAGAAATAGTTTCGTTTGCGCTTGTGGGATTTTATCCTAGATATAGGCCAAAACGGCATTATTCGACCAAACGGCATTATTCGATATATTGCAGCCAGCTTCGGCCTTCGGCCTCAGCTGGCTGCAATATATCGAATAATGCCGTTGGCCTCAGTAATTATCTATTATAATTACTGACCCGAATCAAAAGTAATTATTTTCGGCTGGAAGACTACGTTACACTAGACATTTGTGAGGACATGCATGTAATGCATCGTGATAGAACAGATTTCGGTTTAATTAATCGCCCTAAATTAAAATCTCCACAAGCGGAGGTCAATTAATTTATAGTGTTCTAGTTTACATATTATCATTAATGATAAGGTTAATTCACTCTTGCGGTTTAATAGCGTTACTTTATTACTGTTTAATAAGTGTTCGTAATATTATATTCGAGTCAGCAGTCGGCTTTGACCTAGTCGTTTGTCACTCAAAGAAGTCGGACTTTTGTTTCATCCTAACCAGGAAAACCTGTTTAGAGGAAGGCAATACAGCCTTATCGTGTAATCCCCTCTCAGATTTTTCGTGTTCTCATCGCCTTAATAATAACGGTTATTGACCGTGTTTATAGACAGTAAAGGCAGTAATTAATGCGGCCAAAAGTACAATTACAAGTACAGAATATCATACTACGTAACCAACAATTTGATACTACCTTAAAAGGTAAGGCTATTTATTTCTGACCAATGGGAATTTTGCGTACGAATCGTACGCTAAAGCATAGAGCCTGACACGCAGACTACTGAATCAGGTGAAACACTTTTTGGTAGGTTCTTTTATCGTTAAAGTTTTATTAGCGCTGAGTGATAACGATTCGGGCGTAAACAATGACAGCTTTCCAATACATGCAGGAATTACACATGGGGTTTCCATTCCACAAACCTATAAACAAATAATTGTCTACAATGATCTTACCTTCGAAATGGTAGAAGTTTTGTGAATTTCCTGAACCGAACTGATCAGCTGAACCCGCATGAGCAATTGCTTCTTTGTATGCGATAGCAAACCATTTCGAAGGTGACTGGAATATCAAGAAATATAGAATTAATTTTATTATGAAACGAATTACAGAAATAACATAATGATCTTTGTCTAACACCAGTATAGTCCTCTTCTCGCGTTTTAAGTTATGTTACGACTCACTATATAATGGGCTGTTTACATGATCCTGCTTTGGCGGGACGAGATGTGAAGCGGAGTGATTTTGATGTATTGAAATAAGTGACGGCACACGATTCAGCAAAACTACATTATTTTCCTCTCGTGATCTAGATTATAGTGTAATTGTAAACGAAAGATTGTTTGTGCAGGAATAATCTTCTTGATCTTTTGACCGTCGTTTGAACCCTCGTTTCAGTGATTTATTTCAATACCGACTTATCCAACCTTCCATCCTGTCCTGGAAAAACGGGAACAGGTAAACAGCCACTAAATGGTAGAAATACCAAGATCTGCATGAAAAATGATAAATGTTTTTGCACAAAAGACGCAATCAGTACGACACACTAAAGGACTGGAAGGTATACTATCACTCCACATGACGTTTCGCGAAGTATAGATGATCGCTGACAAGTAAAGACCGCGGTCGCGCCCGGAAAGGTCATGTAGTGTGATAGTATAATGACTACATGCAGTTTAAAATGTTTACAGAACTTCGAGAAAAGAAATAATCGATTATCAAGGGATTCAAGTAGGTTTTTAAAATAAATACAATATTATTTTAATCATAACTCATAGTGGGGCCTCCTGTGGGCTCACTGCTAACATTACTATGACAAAATTCGAGCTTTTTTACAACCAGTGTAACTTTCAATAAGCAGTTAAAAATGAAGATGCATACAAAGCAAAACATAGTAATATATGCTCGCTTCTCTAAAATATCTCTTGTTCTTCTCCTTCGTACCCAAGTATTCCGCATTCGGGGAAGTTGTTCACGGTGTTTTCCAAGACCTTATAGATTGGATCGGAAATTCTGAGAAACTGTCTTGGAAATACTCTAAAACTTTAATTTGAACATTTATTTTCTTACCTAGGAACTATTATTATTTATTAATATATGTAGGAAATATATACAACTCACGACGTTTAATTAATTGCAATCACTAAATCACAATCATTCCATGTATATAACTATAATTAACTATATGCTTCCTATATCAATATATTATTTATCACTAAATCACAATCATTCAATGTATCTAACAATTAAATTACGAGCTCGAGATTTCTATAAGGTGATAGTTAATGAGGGCGAAGCCCGAATCAACTATCACCTCATAGAAATCCATAGCGAATAATCGAATTGTTTTAGTAGAATGAGAGAACAAACATAAAATATTCCACAAAATAATTCAATAATTTGATAATGGAAGCCACATTAAAAAAAAGCGTCAGGAAAATGATTGTTTTGCTACTCGCTATCTATCGAGGAATAGCGAGCAGCCAATCAAATTACAGCATCTGCAATAGTATACTAGTACATGATTCTACTCATAATTATGCTTCATATATCAATATTACTTATCACTAAATCACAATCATACCTTTATATGTCAACATTACTTAAACATTACTTGATAACTGAATGTCATAAATCAAAGCAAATTATAGTAACAATTTTCGCATAATTTATTTCATCATATCAGCCACACATAATCACTTTATTAATCAGGATGTCAATCAACGATAAATAAATTCAACATAGAAAAATTATTTCAGGAACACATAATCACTTTCTAAATCAGCGATATGAATCAACGATAGATAAATCCAACAGATCGTGTATCTTTTTATAGCACATACTATCATATGCGATACCTTTCTCTCGCTGGGAGAACGTCGTTTCCGCTTCTCAGATCCAGAAAAACAAGGCTGTAACTAGGATGATCACGTTTGGCAATGAAATATCAAAATTGCAAGTACGATATGAATGCGATTGTCGACGAGTAAGGCGTATGCATGGTGAGTGGTTTGGCGTCACGTTTTAATTTAAATTCATTTTAAAATAAGAGAAAATGTGACCTAAAATTGATAGCGTCATAATAACTTGTAATAAATCATATATTTTGAAACTTGCAGCATAGGGTTATTATTATTCATAAACTTGGAGAAATGGAATATTTCATCACAAGTTATTTGAAAATACCCCGAGAAAAATGACCATATTCACGTGTTATAAGTCTGGTTCTCCGGTTGGACAAACTTATTGTTAGGTATACAATATCAATTAAAACAAGAAAAGATTGCTTGAACTTAGTTTGGGTTCCAGAGTGTTTTAAACAAGTAACACACTTTTCTCGGTTACAACTACTGTATTACGAGATTTTCTTGCAATTCCAGTTTTCTCACAAAATTTTGGTTGTCAGTTAATTGTTCAAATAGGCGAAATACAAAGGAGATCTACGTTATAGAAGTCACTGCAATTTCAATGTGAGATTTTCGGTCGATCCTCATGTGTTTTAATTGAACGTCACGCTACAACACAATTTTTGAAATCATTTTTACATTTTAATATAATAATTATAATTATACGCAGTGCATTTACACAAAATTCTTATAGATCAAAAGAGTCAAGAAAGACCTGCTAATAAAAGCTTAACCAATCAAAATGGCGTATTTTATAGAGTTCTTCTATTCATATCTTTTTTCACATCTTAAGGTGTGTATTTAATATTCATCTATATTATGTCATATTCATGTAATATTCATATTATATCAGGATGCCGCCATGATCTAATTTCTAAAAGTAAACACTATAACGCTATTTTATTTCTAATAATAAAAAATACTTACGAGGTGTTTTGTATACTTTGAGAATATCGCAGTAAGTTTATCTGCGTTGTAATCAGATTTTTGTGGCAGACAGAACTAAAAGAGAAAAGTTGCAATTTTGCTACGATTTTGGGTGCGATTTTTTTCTTCTGGTGAATGTTAACGATGGATGAGGTATGAATATGTTGAGATAGGGGTTCATATACACTCAGAACATTCAGACTCATCTACACGTTTACATGCACCAGAAGAAGAAATCCACTATAACAATCGCAGCAAAAGTGAGTAAATTATATATTTCGCATGTGTTTGATCCATGCAAATGATGAATTTACTTCAGCATAATTTTGTGATATATAAAGACTTCAAGTTGACCGTTGCAAAACTCACATATGTTTTCCCACACTGCACTCGAAACCATGTTATTATACCTATGTATCACAGCTGGCGAGTACGTACGATAGTTATTTACGAGTTGTCAATTAGGATCGCTAAACAAACGAGTGAGTTTAGTGATCCTTCACAACTAGTAAAGTAAAAATCAAGGTAAAAATGTTACATTTTTTGGTTGCTTAGGGTCTACACTTCGTACGAAATTTTTTCTGTAAAATTGAAACAGTGATAGCCATTCATTTCTGTGTCAAGTACCCTTTTAAGGCAATGTTTTGAAAACTTTGTAGTAATTGTAACGAAGGACAAAATTGGATGAGTTGTACAATCATAATTCATTAATACACTGATACACATGTACATTGTGCACCTCCACTAATGTTTTTTACACCTCCCCCACTATTTCCACCAAAATCCGGCCTTGCTAGTGAATAACAAAAAAAGAACGGTTAAGTTTGAGTCAGAGAGAGGGCTACGTTCTAAGCGCCAGCATCCCAGTGCACCTTCTCTAACATTTTCCCACCACCCGAGCATTACGGTGCTGTCAAGGTTGGCACTGCTTTATATTCTGCTCGAGAGTTGATTAATTACAGTAGTTTGTTAGTTTGTGCGGAATCATTCAAATCCTTCCACAACCGCCTAGCAAAAATTTCTTTAAAGTTCTCTGAATTTCCTTTTTTTATGGGAAAATTTCCTCGGACTCTAACGCCCGACTGCGCCTTATCTCTCATTCTGGGACAAAAATACCACCGTTCGAATCAGCGTAAAAAGATTTTACTCACAATGTGGATGCCTAATTTATTTCTGAACAGCAATACTCTAGAGATTTATGGCCTTTGAAAGAAAAACGAAATTGTATTGTTGACGAATCTCTCAAAAAGATTAAACTAATTGACAATCCAGTAAGTTTGATCCTTGACAACTCTTTTCGGCGGAAAGTTTTTTCTTAGGGCACCGCATTTTAGTACTATGCCTGGTTTCTACCAAAATCCCTCTTTGGAAAATTCTTTGCTTCACAAAACATTTTACCATTGCACTCATAAACATTCATAAAATAAATTTACCTTGTAGATTTGCAATGTACTGCACATGAGTTCAATTCCGTCAGTTAACCCCATCA